CATTTGAAACTATATTCATTAGTTGCCGAATCATAATGGTAGCTTGTACTTCAGTTATGCTCCATAATGTATTGTGGACAACAAAGTAATTATGCGTGCACGTGACCTTTTTGTTAAAATTCCTAATGAATATTATTCATCAGCTTTCCTGACTTCCTGTGCCGTCCACTGCAAAATTGTATTAATCAACCGAAATTTTGTGATCAAAATAAAAAGCTTTTATTAACGGTGTAATTAACTTTATGTGTTAATATAAATAACGCGCTCTAACAAAACGTGTGAAAGTATGCGCCGAAATAATTATAAAATGTTCGCGGTCCGCACTATAAAATCTCACATTTTGTGTCCGCTGACTAACACATGCAAAACGTACAGAAAGTTCCTTATACACCAGCCATTACAACCTTCCGGCTGGCAGACAGGTCCGCCTTGTAAATCGTGTCCTAATACATGCTCAGAGCCAGTCGATAACAGCAGACCTGACCGGAATTTTTGGCGTACGCATTACATTCTTTCCTCGCGCATCTACAGCCCTTGGAGGACTTTGGCCGTCTCCTTAAGGTAGTCTTCGGAACAGTTGGTAATACTTATTGGACGAGGGGTCAGCCTGTTGCAAGGTCTCTGTCTAAACAGGACAAAAGAACACAAGGACAAAGACAACCATGCATGCCTTGAGTAGAATTCGAATTCACAGCCGGTCATACACGCGCGTGTCATCAACAGAGTAGTGATTTAGAAGAACAGTTAAACATCTTCGGAAACCATGCAAGTCAACGATTCACATAGCGTCAGATTTAGTACAGGTAAATGAAACAGATAAAATCGTATCATCACTATGATTATCGAGTATGGACAGGGCATAGTTCTGAAAGTATTCTTCAATTATAATAATGTTACTTAAATTTACGTTCCAGCAAATGAACACTCTGGCACATAAAGATAGCGAAAGATATTAGAGAAGGCTTCCATCCTTCATTACATACGCTGGATGCAGGAAAGGAGAAATTCCTCCAAAGAAGAAATAAGGAAACTTTGGCTATAACAGAAATAACTGAAGGTGGGTTACCTTATTGGTCACTGTTACATTCACAGTGACTTGATGTCGATGGTGTTTGTGATATTGCATTAATAATGATAAAATATTGCGTTGTCTGTCTCCACACGACAAGTCATACTTTAGGTTCTCCCGGCGACGAGTATGAAAATGGCTGTCCTCTGCGTTGTCGCACCGTCTAGTCTGGCAGACGTATGCCTACGTTTCAGAGGTATTTACTTCATCCGGCAATCGTCCTAATGTTGCAGGCAGTGCAAGTACCTGTGAAACGTCGGTAGAAGCCTTTCAGACTGCACGGAACAACAGACCTGAAGTCAGTTACCTCCAAACTTTACAATACACATATCCTTTCTAGTCTGGTAGACGTTCACCATCGTTTTAGAGATCATCATAAAATCATACTTAATTTAAGAGTTGTTTCTTCCTTGTCCTTATCACCGTACCACTCATTCCCTTTAGTGTGAAAGACAGGAAGAAAGCACTTGCTTCTTAGTACCGTAATTCACGAGAAAGAAATAATTCCGACACTCCTAGTAAGGTAAAAGTGAATAATACAATTACATTAGCCTAAACTGTGTTTGTATGCATAGCGTCATTATTGGAAGAATTATCATAAAGCCAGCATCAATGTTTATGACTAGACCATTCAAAATATAAATACCATAAAAAACACATCAGACGGTCATTAAATGCTCGTGAGCTTTGCCTACAAGTAAGGAAGAAAAGTACAGATTTTTAAGAACTGTGAGCATATATTAATGTTGGTTATAAATCATTTAAAATCTAGACAGTACAAATAAGTGTTAATCTATATTTCGCGGAAATTTAGTATATTAGAGATACATGGATGTTTGTGTTATAACCAATCTTAAATTTTATTTTATTTTAATATTATAAATGTTTGTAAACATTTTATAGTCCGTATATAGCTGCGGTAGTAACAATAACTTAAAATATGTAATAACTCTACTACGATCCGTTGAACCGATACGGAACAGGTAAGTTTCGACAGATTAAAAAAACCATAAACCTGGGTTATCAAAATATTGTTTTATTTTCAAATAAAAACACTTAAAAATTGCTTAATAAAAATGTTAGTACTGAAAATAGTTCTTATTTGATGACATTCAGACAATAATTTTATAATAAATATTTCACTTCACGATACGTGTGATGTTTGTCAGGGCTGTGCAGACGGTACTAAAATCTCAAACTCCGACTACGACTCCGATCTCGACTCCTTCATAAAACTTTAATATGTATTAATACGTGTAAACCTACTAAAATTGTAAATGGCACCATACGAGATTTTACCACGTAAATCATCAGTCTACTTTTTTTTAAATATACGTCAAATTTTTATTGCAGAAATCGGTTGCTTTGTAGACAATTTGTATTCTTAAGGTATCTGAGCCAAAGTTACAAACAATTATTCCCACACCATATGCCTCAACGCGTCGTTGAATCTCCCTAAGCGTGAGGCCTCCGGCGGCTCACACGGTATAGAAATTGTTCTTTAAGATTTTATATCGAGTTTGGAGTCGGAGTCGGTACATTTTTGCCGACTCCACCTAAAATTTCTTTCGACTCAGACTCCACAGCCCTGGTAAGAACACAAGGGAAATTTGTACATTGTAGGCTACTAATACTTAATTACAAATTACTGAAGTTAAAAGATCCTGGAATTTTTAAGAAAATACGGAAATATATACAGTTATAGAATTTAGAAAAACATAATTTAAGATAGGGATATAATATCTATTACGTGATATATACTAAAATATTTTATTTTTCTGAAAATTTTTGTGCCTTGCGTTCGAATAAAAGTCTTATTCGTGGATGTGTTATGCAAGTGTGCTACAGTTGTAAGCCAGAATCTAGTGAAAGTTGCAGTCAGCTTTATCGGTTCATATCATCTTCTTTGAAACGTTTCTGGAAGAATAAAACCGGCAAAATAGCATTAAGCTCGAAGTTAGCCATTTGTGGTGTTATGAACCTTGTAGTTTATAGAGAGACGTAAATAATAGACTGCTCTGAGAACAGGGTAACTCCCCCTTTCTGAAGCAGATTGTATCGACCATCTGTCTCCATGAAATAGCGGAGATATTCTGAGGTTCAGCCTCACCGAGTTTGTGCGTTATGTTTCATATTTTGGCACGATTCCTTTAACACTTCTGTCATCTCTTCGTCTGGGTGATACGTTACCGCCCACACACCAACGCAAAACCCAGAAATTTTTGCTCTAATTTCTCATTGATTAAGCGTCTCATATGAGGCCGAAGTTTTAAATCATTCGCTTGTCCTACACCAAACAAATAATTCTTCTTGTGTTTTCTAATTTACTTATCATTAGTATCGCTCTGAACATTTTGGATATGTTCCAGTTTTCTCTACAGAAATCACTGGTGTGTTAATGCATTACCATTTCATAAGAAAAGTACAACTTGCATTATTGCGTTTCTGTATGCATCATGACTAAATAACACCAGATTATGAAACTGCGTAATTATGATTCTCGAATAATTCAGCCATACGCTTGCCCTTCTTGTATTTGCGTACTCACGTGATCATATTTCACTACAGCTCACAGTGTGGGGTCCTGGAATATAATGTAGTGATCATGCTCTGTGTCGTTCCCTACTTACTGAGTCAATCTTTGGCATTTCTCTTAACTTACAAATACTTTTAATAAACACAATCAGACCTGGAGCAGTTTTGAACATCTTACACAAACAATTTTCTTATATATTCTGATTAAATTAAATCGTATTACTTTTCTGAATTTCTCTTGCATGTGTTACCAAGTAAATGAGCACGAGTTGAATTACCACCAATTTCTGAAGAGTTAAAAATAATGAGGTGCAGGGGAACCGCGGGCGATCAAACACTCATCAGATTCTTACTTGCCTATTCTTCTACAAATCTTAATATTTTCGTAACAAGTTTGAAATAAAATAGTTACGAAAAGGTGTAACGCAGTGTTAGATTAGCCCACGTAACGGCCACGTCACACCGACGTCATATTTACTTCAAGCATACTTTACGATTAGGTCTACTACACGTCTTCGTCACCCCTACATCATGACTACTCCAAGGCTACGTAAAACTTAAGTCACATCTACGTCTCGCCAACGTCACGCCTACGTCATGCATTCTTCAGTCCTGCGTCACACCTTTGTTACGACTCCTTTACAACTATGTCAGGTTGGTTTTGAATATATTTCGAAAGGTTAGTTTATTTAGGAGAGTTAAGTTAGGTTAGATTATTTGAGGCTAGGTTGGGTTAGGTTAGGCTAGATTAAATTAGGCAAGATTAAATATTATGTATGGAGGGTCTGTTATGTACAATGAGAAGAATACACACAAATCCAAAGAGACCACAAACTTCGTAGGCATTGGCTATATAACTGATATAGTAAGCGTTTCTCAACACATATAAGGTACATTCATTAGGGTTTCGTGTTTCAAATGTTCGCGAATAAAGAATTACTCAGATAAAAATGTGTACGCGCCATTTAAATCACACGTGTACTGTTTCCTTTTTCTCCTCACTTCCACTAACATTGCTAACTTCATTTGTCAATCTTTCGGGAGGCAAGTGGGCGCGGAAGAATGATAAACTGTGCAAGGTGTTGCAGATGCAAAGTCCGGACTGAGGCGGTTCGTGACGTAAAGCACGCTGGTTAGATGGTGGTCATATGTTTCAAAACTGGAAAATTCTAAACCAAAACTAATTACAATGCACTGGTGGCCCTCAACCACCAGTAGAAAAATCACGAAAGATAGTATGGCGAATACATTATACCGTTTCCCATCATAACAGAAGAAATGAAATTACCATAATCAAATGAAGTGTAGGTTTAGCTAACTCTTTACACAAGAACCATTTATCTAAGTTTATACAGATCATCTCGTTCTCTTCCATTATACAAAAAGGCACACTCACCAGGGTTGACAGCGGTTACATTGAAGATCAGTAACAGTTGAAGGAGCAGAAACACAATGGGCATCTGAAACAAAGGAGCTGATTATTAACAAGCACTTTTACCATTTAAAATCGTGAAAATAACCTGAGTCTGTCGACTGCAGTCTTCTGTTTTGTCACAGAGTTCAGCCTTGTAGGTGGATCCCATTTTAACTTTGAGGATGGACGCGATATTTTGCTGCGAAATGTTGATAACCCTCAGCGTCACAACCGAGAATAAAAGTCTACACGAATGAACATGGTTATCTTCTGGGTTCTTGCGCTGTGTAGTCTGGTGAAAGTCCTTGTTAACTTTGTTATCTTTGTCACCGTCGCCCTGATTTAGCAGTAAGCACCTCAGAAACGTTTGTAAATTTCTACCAGACTACACCGTTCAACAACCCAAGAGAAGGCGCATCTTCATACTCGCCACCTTAAGAACTTAAAATATCACATAGCAGTTCACACCTTCACCGCCTTGAGAAATCAAAATCTCAGTCTCATGTAGACTTCAGAAACATACCAAAAGCTTCTTACAATTGTGGATTAACCTCTGTATTTTTTAACAATGTGATGATATTCAGTTAAGACCACACGATACTGAGCCTCTTTTTATACGGAGTAATTCACACTCTGAGAAAAGCTACTACACTAAGATATATCTTAATATTACCCTGCTCTTGCATTGCCAACA